GGGGGGGGGGGGGGGGGGGGGGGGGAGGAGGAGGTCTGTATGTCTGTGAGAGGGTCTTCAGCTCTTAAGGAGTCTCTCTGTCTCCCCCCTTCAGCTCCGTGCAGAGATGGAGGAGGAGAAGCGCCAGGCGGTGAGCAAGGCGGTGGCCGGAGCTCAGGCGGAGATGGAGCGGAAGTGTAAGCAGGTGAAGGAGAAGTGTAAAGAGGAGCTGGTGGAGGAGGTGAAGAAGGTGGTGGCCCAGAACAAACAGCTGGTCTCCCAGACCAAGAAGAAGCAGTGGGTGAGTCCTGGGACTAAGTAGCCGTCTCAGTTTGTGTTTAAACAATATTTATAAAAGTTATACGTCATGTAGGGCTGCAACTAACGATTATCTTCTAGTTTAATCGATTAAAAAAAGTGTTTCTCAGCGACGTAGCAGCAATCTAACATCACCATTAATTACATTTATACAACCACAATATCAGGTTTGTCCGTTCCTGTTTGTTTAAATGATCTTTCCACGTCTTCCAGCTTGTTCTTGAGTGCTTCCCCTGAGCTTCTTGTTGTTGTTGTTGTTTGCAGTGCTATAACTGTGAGGAGGAGGCCATGTATCACTGCTGCTGGAACACCTCATACTGCTCCATCAAGTGTCAGCAGGAGCACTGGCACGCCGACCACAAACGAACCTGCCGCAGGAAGAGATGAACAAGCCCCGCCCCCTCCCTTTGACCTTACACAGCACGCCATTGGCTCTCTCCCTCTCCTCCTCCTGTCAGTCAGTGTCTACAAAACACACACACACACACACACACACACACACACACTTCCCTCCTGCTTCTCTACTGGCCTTCCTGAAAACTTTGTGGACCCGACGTTTTCTGCGTGAAAGAGCGATTTGTTACCTTTTTTATTTTCCTTTTGTTTCTATTATTTAATATACCCATCGTATTGATTTATATACTATTGTTTTATTCTCTGAATCGTGAACAGATTGCTCAAATGCAGAGTTACGGTATGATTTTTGTGTTGTTGTTTTTCACGATTTATTATTATTTTTTCTTTACTGAAGTGCTGACGTTGAGCTTGTGTCAGAGAATGTGTTATTTAAATGTGTCGTAACAGATGAGCGTTAACTGCATACATTTTATTACCTGAATTTTTAAATAATCCACTTTTCTTACTGTAAATGCAACAAATACACACCGTCAATCGTACAGTTCAGACACAGCGTGAGTCCCGTCGCTGCGTCGAACGAGCTCCGCTTTCATAGAGAAAACATTCAAAAAATAACAAAAAAACTGCAGAGATGTGGACGACGTGGCTCACCGTGTTCGTGTTTCCTTCAGTGTTTTTATTAAACTCTTGCGGTGAGTAGCACCTTTTTATCGTTTCTACCTAAAATCATATCGAGTCCTCGAGTCACTTATTGGGAACACAGGGTCACGACGTCGGCCGCAAAGAGGAGTCGACTAGATAACTCTTCCATGTATTATTATAACTATGACATCATTATGCACATCCTGGGGCTCTTTCTTAATAGACTAGTTTTTATGAATCCGATATTTAAAAAAAAAAAAAAAAGAATGAAAAGCTTTCAATTGGTTCTAAATTGAGGAAATGTTGAGCAATCTTTCCTGAGCTGGATCTTAGAGAGGTTCCATGATTTCACTGTTTCTCCTCCTTTTGTTTTCTTAACGACCCGAATGCTTCTTTGTAATATTGCCAAAAAAACACACGAGATATTTAGTTGAAGCTACCTGAAGACGCGCGGTGAGTCGTCTCTCCTCCTGCGTCCTACAACCTTAAAATTACTTTATATATATTTTTACAAGCTTTGTCAGTTTCATTTTTACAGGAGCTTTGGGAGGCGAGTGAGAAACAAACATATCTGGTGATCCGGATTCTGTCGTTATGATTTAAGAACAGGAGAAAAACCCTTGTTGATGCGCGAGTGTTTTGTTGTGATACTCACTTTGGCCACTAGAGGCAGACGTGCACCACTACCCCATGTTCTAGATGGGTAAAATAGCATTCACATAACATCTCATGTTCACCCTCTTGTGGCCGCAGTGAGTATTACAACAAAAACAAATCTTTTAGATGAAGAAATTAATAAAATAGAGCTTAGAAAGATTATCCGGGCAAAAGCTTCTTTCCAGCTGTTCTTAAGTCGTAAAAAAAACTATTCAGACGAGGCTGACGCCTCTCAGCGCTCCCGTACATTCTGAAGTGACGTGCACTCTGAAATAGTTTCTTTCCTTTGTCAAACCTGAAGTGACTCTTTCACTGCGTACGCTGTCGTCGGTGGTCGCTGCCGGTTTCTCTTTCTTTTCTCATCCTCTTGCTCCCAGTGAGGCGACGTGCATGTTGATGGTTTCATAGTTTGTCTTCTTTTCCTGTCATTACGGTAAAACAAAAACAAAAAAACAGACCAGAAGCTCGCTGGTGTTTAATAAACAGTGACGATGGATGGACCAATATAAAACATTATGCAAATGTGAATGATCAAATTCATCTTTTCTACAGCTTCCTGCACTAGATGTTGAGTGGTGTATAAATATGGTGCTCGGAAACTTCTTTCTGTTTCTTAAAGTGGCGATAAAATTGCCACTTTTAGATTTTCTTTGATTTTCTGAGACTCTTTTAAAGTTGCTCGACTGTTTCCTCGGTTATGACGATTGACTGAACGGAGGAACGTGATTCAGTTACTCTGTATCGACGCAGATTGCTGTTAATCGATTTGTGCTTCTTTTAACATGTGACAAATAAAATACCGTAAATTCTCACATAGTGGACAGGACCTTTTTTATTCATCTCGACTAAAGAAAGACGGGACTTTTATATCTACGGTCTGTAAATTACATTTTAAAACTTCTCTCAACGCTTCAGGTGCAAATACCACACTACATTACTACATAGTATTTGTACAACATGTACTACATAATAATTGACCTGGTGAAACAGTACAGTTGTTCAAGTTACTCTTCCATTCAACAGGACTTGATCTACATCTGCAAACAGACGAAACAAAGTGTTTTTCAATGACTTAATACTTTTTAACCCGATACATTTATGTAGGTAGTACTCCCAATGATGTACTACATACTATGTGAATCAAGTGTGTACTTTATACTTATATTATATAAGTATACTGTTTTCCAGTTATTACACAAGAAACGTTAGGGCTGCAACTAATGATTATTCTCATTATTGATAGTGTATATATATCATTACATAATAATATCCAGTATTTTATTTGTATCGTTACTGTTAGAAAGTATTGGAAAGGGTCTTCAAATGACTTGATTTGTCCGTTAAACACCAAATAATATTCAATTTACATCGATATAGAACGGAACATTCTCACGTTTTGAGAAGCTGGAAAAGCAAATCTTATTGTTTGTTTGATTTGATTCATCGCTTATACGATGTATTGATCTGAATGTTCTTGGTTTTATTTCCCAGTGTGAACACGCTGCTGAGTGGGACTTTGTTGTATGGATCTCTTTTATCTCCGAATGTTTTCTTTGGGAAATATGTTCTGGAAATCTGAAGAGTTTCATAAACAGCAGCCGACAGCAAAAGCTGCTGTTATTCATCAAATCCTATTTTAAAAACCAACATTGTGTTGGTGCGTCTCTCAATACTGCCTGACTTCCTGTCTGTGACTCTCCGCTCCAAGCCCTTTGGTTCCTACTGAAGACACACACATATATATACATACATATATATGCATGTGTGTGTGTCTTTAAAAGATTTACATCTTCAGTAGGAACCAAAGAGCTTGGAGCGGAGAGTCACAGACAGGAAGTCAGGCAGTATTGAGAGACGCACCAACACAATGTTGGTTTGTTTTGGTGGTTTTTGACCCAATCCAACACACACAGTGTTCATGGTGATGGAACTCGTCACTGTGTTTTCTATAGTTTTTGGCCCAGAATAAGAAGGCGTATCCGGCTTTGATACACTTGTTTAAACAGCGTAAAGATATTATTATTATTATTATTATTATTATTATTGTCTGAAAACTGTCCACTATTAGAGAATTTACGGTAACTGTTGTTCCAGACTTTAAATACTTCACACCTTTCGCTCGTCTTTCTTCTGAAACTCATTTAAGTGTATCACTTTAAGATGTAACATGTTTCTGTACAGTTTGAGCGTCTCTCTCTCTTCTGATCCAGCGGCTTCACATTTAAGTCTTGATTTCTGGAGAAGAGTTCTTTTCATGTTCTCTCGTTCTTCACCACCGTCCTCCTCCTCCTCCTCCTCCTCCTCATTGCACTACATGTAAATAAATGTTCTTCCTGCTTCACATTATGTGTACATTGTAAATGTATTCACGAATATTCAACTTCAGTTGTGTTCACAGTGACCTGGATGACTGTTAGTCTGGTTTTGTACAGTGTACAACCGTTAATCACACCCGCTGCCCTCACGCTCTCAGCTCCTACTTTCATCTTTTCTCTTTATTTTAATCTCAGCGCGAGCTCCGCCTCCGATTCATCTAATATCTCTGTCACGCTGAAAGCCAAACTAATAATAACTTGTATGTTCTCCCCAAACTGACACATTTGATGTTCCGCGTTTATTTCTTTTCACTGTTTTTATATTCGTCCATCCAGCCGCAAAGAAAAAGAGATTTCAGTGTGAAACGTTTTTTGATGTCATTCCAGTTGGTGTTATTTCTTTGATCTGCATGAGTAAAGGTGTGTGTGTGTGTGTCTCTCCTTGTTCTCTTCCTCGTCATGTACTGCAGAAAAAGACCTGGTTGCTCTCAGAGTGAAGCAATATGACAATGATATTTGTTCTTTTGATTTCTGGAACTATTTTCTGCTTGAAAAAGTGAGTAATCGATGAGATCGTCGCCCATAACCGGACCTCCCACTGTTCTTATTCCACAGTATTATAGTACACAGTACTCCACAGTATTATAGTACACAGTACCACGTGAGTACTAGCTAAGATCCTGCTTGAGCTCACGGAGTAGTTGTGTGCTTCCAGCTGGAATAACAGCGGTGTGTCCCGTCCTCTGTCCCGTCCATCTGTAAACTATTCATCGTGGCTTAATAACATTTTCTATGCTCCGGACGTTTCTTTTTTTTATTTTTTATGCTTTAGCTAGCAATATGTATATAAATATATTCTATGTGCTAACATGGAGGAAATAAATGTATCAACAAGTTCTTGTTTCCAGTGTTTGTTCATGTTCTACTTCTTTACCTTTAAGACGTGGACTCTCTTACAGAACGTGTTCCTTCCTCTATTTATTGCTGCAGGTCGTTTAAGACGTCGACAGATTCTTCAAAACACTGAACGTATGATCTGAAGATACGTTTCTGTAACGGCGTCATGTGAAAAGTTAACCGGATGAATAACGAAAACACATCGACTTATGACGTACTGTACCATGATTATGTTTTATAATATATGACGACATATTCTATGATATACATATACTGACTTATTGCATTTTATGAAAAATTATACTATACTATGACTTTTTACATCACTTTTACAAACAACCTTTTTTATGAAATGTTTTTTATAATATAAACAATGGCCTCTGTCTGTATTTTTTGATTAAACTGTTTGACATTTGTCGACATACCGAACCATCACCTACTTCAACGTCCTATACTATGACTCTTTTTTTTACTGCATTCTGTATAATATGACTGTCATACTATACTGACATTTTTAGACTTCCTATACTGTAAGTTTTTTGATGAAATATTTTAACATTGTTAATTTGGGCTTTTTAATGAAATTTTCCGACATACTAGGATGTTTTTTTTCAAGAAATGTTTCATTGATTATGCAATGCTTTTACGATATGTTTCTTTTACAACATATACTAAACTGACTTCTTTCATGACATTTACATTAAATTACACTGACTTTATATGAGCTAAGATTCCATCCGTTACAATTATTATAAATTTGCTGTTTTTTTCAACTAAAATGTACAAATTACATTTTATCTCATTCTAAATAACATTTAAATTTGATCTGAATTAAATATCAATTTGTAGTAGATTCATGAAGATATCCTTGTGGGACATTCTTGGAGCTATATGAATATAGGTTTTATTGCCGTCATTCAGTGAGTATCGATGCTTTAAAACACTTTTTAAATGTATTTGAGAGCCATTTGTTCAACAATTTCCCCAAATCTGCCTAACGATAATAAATCACACACATTCCACTTTTATTGTCAAAATTGCTGAAATATTTATTGAATTGAAAGACTTCATGTCAACTCAAATAAGACATTTTTAAAACCTTTAAAAAACATACCGGGGGGGGGACTTACATTTCGCTGATACAAGAAAGAAAGGAAGTGAAGAAAGTGCTTTTATTTTTTTCTCTCTTTCCGTGTGTTGAATCCGGAACATTCTGGTATTCCTGCTGACCTTTGACCTCACCACAGCTCTGTGATGCGTTCAAAGAGCCTCCGGTGAAACGCCCTCACATTCTGCTTCCTGTCTTCAGTCTTTAGTTCCTGTTGTGACATCACTGTATGAGCCCTGATCGATCTGTCCATGTAGAAAATATGAAGGACCTCTGACTGATATTTACAGGAGCTGCGGCTGCTCGCCGACCTGCCGTCACGCGGACACTCGGAGGCGATGAGGATTCACCTTCATCCTAAGAGAGCCGAGCGCTGCTTGTTGGTCTGTTTCAACTGAAGATTAAAACTTGTTTTCTGTTGAAAGATCAGAAACGCTGCTTGTTCTCTGGTACACGAGACACATGAAGAGTTCTGATCCAAAGTTGAGACTTCCTCATATTAAAAGTGACGCCAACCAGTTACAAAAAGCTGTTTTTAAGAGTTAAGGTTTCCACTGGAGGTCAGCAAACATCGTCCTAACGTAACGTCTCCTCACAGACAGTTATTAGAGTACAGTTAATTTATTAAAATATTTACTCATGTAGAACCTTAAATTAGAAATTGTGCCCTGAAATGAATAAAACCTTCAAATGGAGCACACAGATCTCAATCTATTGAAGTTATGTTGAACTAAGAGACGGTGAATTTAAACTTTGTCATGGAATCCAATATGAGAATTTTGAAAGAGGTTTTTCATAATTTTCAGCAGTTTATAATATTTGTGCATAAGAAAAGAATAATATATATTAGTGTAAAAAGGTCAAATTATCACAAATCTGTCTGAACAGCGTTCACGTTGTCTTGATGAACCACAGACAGCAGAACATGAGTTAATATTGACTTCATGAGTTTTGTCTTTTTGGATTCTTTAACGAACCGTCAGCTCTCTAAATAATACTGCGTAAGTCAGTGTTACACCAACAAGAGCTTATTATTAATTAAACGACAGTCTTACTGCACGAGAGAGATGTTTGTTGTATTATTACATTAATTACTCACTTTCACACATCGAGTGCACAAATTAGAAATGTGAGTGATGATTTGAAATCTAATGGCACAAATGACTCATTTAAATGAATTATCAATCGACGCCGAGTGTTTTGGGGGAAAATGTCAAAACTTTTACAGATAAATCAAATAAAAGTTTTGGTTCAGAACTCTTCGTGTGAAATTAAACTGAAACATTTCAGACCAACATGCAGGTAAAACGAAGCATCGCGTGTCAATCTGCTCCTGTATCGTGTGAATCCTTTACGTTTTCATATAAACTATAATTATATATTTGACCATAATATGTTGACGTGAATGCGTTTCACTCAAAATACAATGCTTTCTACTTTTCTTTATATTAGCAAATATTCAAGAGCGAAACATTCTTGAACGTCTCGTCGTATATACTTCTAAAAGAGAAACAAAATAAATTAAATCGGTTTCTTTTTGTACATACTTACATGATATGAATTGATGTATTGTTTGTTCGGAACAATGAACGAGTTAAAGGCAGCAGCTGTTAGCTGTTAACCGTTAGCTGTTAGCTGTTAGCCGTTAGCCGTTAGCTGTTAGCACACTGAGATGGGACGGATGGTTCAGAAAATAATGAATAATTAATTTTAAAAAAATGTAACGCTTACAAAACGAAACACGAGCGAGCATGAAACAAGCGTGCAGTACCTCATTGACCCTCCCCCTCGTATCAACACATAGCTCGCTCTCTGTAATTGGTTGATATCGTAAAATATCATTTTCTGCCACCGTTTGCTTTGTTTCTGTGTAAATATCCTTTAAAAAGAAAAATAGCCGGAAATATTCTGAGGACGTGTTCGAAAACAAAGAAAACGAGCGACGTCAGCAAATACTTAACAGCAAAACGTTAAAGTGAGACACACGCGATTTAACGATTGTCGTCTTCCGCCGACCACGACGCACGATTGACACCGTTTCCGGTAAACATTCGGCATGAGTGGCAGAACTTTCTGGATCTGGACGGGTTGGCTGAGTGCAAATCTCGCTCCTGCTAATAGAAACAGCCTGAACGCTAAACGACAGCTAAACGTAACATCTTGATTCTGGAGATGGTCGGCAGCGACACGGAGCCTCGGGGGAAGCGCTGCCTGAGAAACGCAACTTCTTGTGCCTCGGGGACTCCGGCTTTATTCTTCTCAGATCGTCTTTGCGCCTTCGTTAAATAATCCTTCGTCCACCTCCACGTCCTCCACCAGGGGGCGCTACATGTTGTAGGCCACGTAGATGGGGTCCAGCTGGTCGGCCAGGAAGCCGTCGCGCAGGTGCATGCGCTGCTTCTCGCCGCGGGAGTTGATGGGGATGACGCCGATGTCGACCACCACCACCACGCCCACGATCAGGTAGTGCTCCTCCAGGACCACGTTGGTGACCAGGGGGACCAGGTCCAGGGCCTCGTGCTCCGAACCGTCCAGCTCCACCACCACCACCAGCAGGTTGGTCCACGTGAACACGGCGCTGGAGGCGTAGAAGAAGAAGAAACAACATGACGGACATTTACCCAACTACTGTCCTTCAGTACAAATTTGAGGTACTTTTACTTCACTAGGATATTTTAATTTTCTGCTACTTCATACTTCTACTTCACTACATTTCATTCTTTATGTGCACACAAATTTGCCCAAACTACAAATCAGCGTTGACACGGTTTACTTTGTGTAGATAGTAGATAGAGCTGAGACACAGAGAACACGACGTCATCGTGTGTTGCGTGAGCTTGACGTGGAGCCTCACCACTCTGTGATGCTCTTGTGCGTCCTGATGACGGAGGTCTCGATGTCGATGGGGTGGTAACGCATCCCTCTCAGCTCCATGGCCTCCTCCAGAGCACCGACCACGTACAGGGCGTCGTGACGCTCTGTACGCACGCACACACACACACACACACACACTATTAACATTATGGACGTGACGTCATCCGTTGGTTTGTAGACTGACGTTATTAAGCCTCGAGTTCTGGAATTATGGCCGTCGCCATGTTGGTTTAATCGTCTTTATATCTCTAGGTTTAAATGCACGAACATCTTTTGAGTCACATGTTTGACTAATATTCAATGTATAAACATCCGACTATCCTCATACCAAATCATTACATTACTACAATATGAACACATAACACTGCAGTGAGTCAGATCGGTCCTCTCTCAGACCATCACGGAGCTCTCCGGTGAAAACCAGACTAATGGATTCCTGCGAGCTCGGCAGCACTTAAAAGTCATCCCTGAAGCCGTTTAATCCTCCGCTCTGTGATACGAGAACAGCGTCTGCCCCGTCAGTCACACGCTGACCTTATTCCATCCGACTCACCTCCGCTGGCGTCAGTCAGTTCGGTCCTGCGGAGGAAGCCCAGGTAGCCGGTTCGAGCCCAGACGGTCTGCGTGTCTCCGAAGCTCAGCCTGGAGTTGAAGTGGTCCGACTGCAGCGCCTCGTCTCCATAGACGGTGAAGTAACCGCTGGCGTTGTGGCCGCTCTGCACCCAGATCTGCAACAAACGTACAGCATCAGCTGTTACACCACATGGAGCAGGTGCAGCTCTCTATGCTGATATCTAATGTGTGATGTGGGATGTTTCACACGGGCTTTGCTTGTGTGGAGCGGACACAGGCTCCACTTAAGAGGAAATAGTAGTTGGCAACGCGGATAACTGGCACCAGAACCGGTGTTCATAGGAGACTATTCCCAAACCGCAGTTTCACTTTCAGACAGATTGAATGAGGCTCCGTTCACACAGGAGCGCTGTGGGAGTTATGAGTCAACGTAACTACAGTTAGACGTGTTCTCGAGCTAAATCGGAGTTGTGTGGATGCAGCTCAAAGGATTTCAACAGTTGTATTTGAATCGCTTTAATTAGATCGTGGAAAGTTGTACAACTTGACCCCGTTAGTGTCAGGTATCGAGCATGTGACAGGTGACAAGATAAGGCGAGTCACCACTAAACAGGGAAGAACAGAACCTCCTGTTAGTGAGACAGGAAGCACTGAAGTCCTCCTGCCGTCATGATCTCTGTAGACAAACCTCGCCCAGGTGGGACTCTCCCATTGGTCCCTTGGTCTCTGGGTTGGCGATGATGATCCGGACCCCCGGCAGGATCTGTTCACAAACCAGAGACCAAACACATCGACGTTTAAATAGTTCAGACATTTCAACTAAATAACAAACAAACAAACAGAAACAGCTCACCTTCCCTGACTCCATCAGTGGCAGGCTGTGTGGGGACCCCCTCTCTACGAGTCGGACCCTGCAGAGCAAAGAAACAATATTCTATAACTCCAACATGGAACACATTTATGTCCTACGATAATATATTTAAATATGTGATATGTGATTTATTTTCAACTTTTAAAAAACTTTGATTTATTTTATTCTATAGTTTTTGTGCAGTTTTTGCGTCTGTGGGTAAAAGGGAAGTGAATTGACAAATGTGTAATGTCTGATAATTAACGGAATAATTGTTCTTTCTTTATTCTTTCAGAATAAATAATTCATATTTAAAGTGCACTTTGACGCGATGTTGACAGAAACATGTGACTTTTAAAAGTGAAATCTCTGTTTCTGCACATCTCAGTCCGTCCGTCACACAAAGTGAAATTACAGAGGAAGTTGTGCAAAAACAATAATTAAAGTTTTTCTCCCGACAACTAAGAATAAAATGAAAATATTGATCCTCAGGAGGAATGTGACAGAAGTGGTAGAAACAGGGCTGCTTGAACCGACGGTGATTACATGTAATCAGGCACACTGACGGCTCTATTTATGAGCCCTCGTGTGCTGAGGCGTCTCTGAGGACAGCGGAGCGGTCGCAGCGCCGGAGGCCGTAATGATCTGCTGCATCAGAGGACAGGAGGCCGACGTTCCTCCAGCCACACGGGAGGAAACTTCTGCGTTTTATCTGAGCTCAGACAGACAGCGGAGCCTCGGCATTGTTCCTTTAATCCCACAGGAACACCTTGCCGGGAGGTATTTGAATACATTTAAAGTCTAGCTGTTCATCCCGCAGTTGTTTGTCCATATCTGTTGCCTGGAAACTGACGAGTTCACCACCTCAAAAAAGATGAAATCTGACACTAATGTTGAGCCCTCGCGGCGATTTTCAAACCTCCGGTTGGTTCATGAAGTGACATTTAACTCCCCCTGAAAGCCAAAACTCTGGCAAAACAAATTCTGGAGACTCCTGAGTCTCTATTTATGGTGTCAGCCAGCATGAAGCGAGACTCAGACTGGGTGAGATGGTGTCTTTCTCAGACTGGGAGACGATGTGCGGGTGACAGCCGGGGCGTCGAGCTGACGTGCCCGACACCATCCTACTGTCTTGAAGAAACTTTCCAGCTTCTCTTAACATTCAAACTTTTCTCCGTCAGCCGGGAGCGAAGGCTCTCAGTACTAGAATAATGCACGACTTTACTCTACCGAGCCCTGTTTCTATATTCTGCAGAGTGGCATGCTTCTCCATTCACAAACGCAGACAACAACGTCTCCACTTTCACACAGGAGCTGCCCAGAAGAGGCTGCAGGAGGACGGAGGTCCCTCAGGACACAACACACAATGTGGGAAACAGAATATGTTCAACGGATGAAAACAGATCCACTGCAGGAGGAGATGTGTAGAAAAGACAATACAAGAAGCAGCGTTTCCCACGGGGGGGGGGGGAGACTGTGGTGGACCTCGGCCCCCGACCTCGGACCCCCCGGGAAGAACATTAGATGCGTCTATGTGCTGCACTTTCAGAGCAACGTGAAGAGGCTCGATCTGTGGAGAACGTTGTGCTCTAGTCAACTATTCTGATCGACAGCCTGCGCCGGGGCTCAAACTGTGGCGGACCACCACAGTCTAGGTCAGGGGTACGCAACTAACATTCAACAAGGTCCAGTTAGAGATGAAGGTCCGGAACATCACAATAATGTGTAACTTGCGCTCTGATTTTGTCCCATATATATAATGAAGTGGCCAACAGTTGTATTAATGTCCGTATGTCGTCAACAACTAACAGATCTAATAAGTAAAGATCTATTGAATTATATCTAAACAGTATTTATGATCAGTTTGTTTTCAAATTGAACTGGATGAATTATAAATAATAAATCATCTCATAATAAATAAATGATGCATTTAAGGATGAATTACAAGCTGCATTGATTATTGCACCTATTTGATTGGCTGAGCAGCATCACCTGATACGAGTGCCGTAAATAAAAGCTGTGCCGGTTAAAATAGAAGTGCTCAGTAAAAATGTATTATTTCTCAATTATCCATCGGTTGCAGGTCCTGGGTCCGGATACAACGCCGTCTGGGTCCGGACTGCGGCCCGCCCATTAGTGACCTCTGTTCGAGGTGATGAATGGGAAACACTTGATTTCACAGGTGTTTAATGAGAGCCATTAAGTGCCTCTTAAAGTAGCTTGTTAGACCCTCCATACAAATGCTTCAAGGATTCTTTAGTTCCCTAGAAGGGAGCTTGTATATAAAATGAGGGAAGGTTCCTGGAGAAGACAATAGAGACTGTGATTGACAGGTCGCCACCAGAGACGTACACGGCGTCTCTACCACAGCGTCACTCCTCCATCGTCCAAATACCTTCACTTCTGTTTGCTGGTTGCAAAAAGCCAAGATGGCGACGGCCAAAACGGCAAACTTGAGGCTTCAAAACTGCAGTCCTCAAAACAACGGGTGACGTCACGACGCTTCCAATCTATTATGTAATATTCTGTATAGTAATATACCAGTCAAATACTTTTACTTTTGATTCTTTAAGTACATTTTGCTAATGATACTTTACTTCTACTTAAATAAGATGTTAAATGCAGGACTTTTACTTGTAATATTGTATATTTATATTGTCGTACTGGTTCCACCATCGTTAAGCTTCTTATTTCTCAGTCACAATACAATGAATCATTTCCTGGTTTTGTTGAACTCACCTGTCGTGCCGCAGCGCTCTCATATCAACAAACACAGTCGTGGGGTCGGGTCCTGAGGTGCCCTGAGGAACAACAACAACAACAACAGGGTCACACAGTGTCCTTTAACACAACTACTAACATTGTACTAGTGCATGACAAAACACCACTACTACTACTACTACTACTACTACTAGTACTAGTACTACTAGTACTACTACTCCCACCAGTGGAGGCTACTGCTCGTGCGTTAGTGCTTTTGCTTCACAGCAAAGAGAAAAGCTTTGGGTTTGAGAGCAAAGACGGGATCCCACAAAACCTCTACAGCATGGCGGGAAGAACAATGTGAGAGCGACAGCAGAGGGATGATGTGTGAGGGAAGTCAGCAACAACAACAACAACAACAAATGGATTAGAATAAACATATCCCAACTGTTAAAGAACAGAACGAGGGGTTCTATAGTCAGACATGCAAACAAAAGAGAGAGAGAGAGAGAGGTGATACCAAGCGGAAGGGAAAAGAAAGATGGAAGAAAAAGGGGGATGATGACGTAGCGGAGTGATTACATCCTGGAACGTAGAAAACTCTATGAAATATTATTTGACTTATAGGTTTGGTCAATGTATCTTAAACCTCTTTGTTCTGTGTTGACTAAATCAGAGATAACGAAAGAGATAAAGACCCTCGTTCCAACCTCTCTCATCCTCCACCATCCCTCCATCCCCCCTTTTCTCTCTCTCAGAGGTGTTAAAAAACCCACCACCGGACACCAGAGCCCCCCACCGGACACCAGAGCCCCCCACC